TTATTTTTTAAAGCAAATGCCTCTACCCACTTGGTAAAACAATCAATAATCACTAACAAATATCGATTTCCAGCTGTGGTAGTCGGAAGAGGGCCAAGTATATCCATTTGTACCCTCTCAAATGGAAATCCAGCATCAAATATTTGAAGAGGTGACTTCCCTTTTCCTGATGGACCTCTCCTTGCTACACAAACCTTACAGGAACGGCACCAATCCTCCACATCATTCTTACATGTGGCCCAATAAAAACGCTTTCGGATCTTCTCTAACGTCTTATTTACACCAAAATGGCCACCAGACGCAGCATCATGAGCCTCCTCCAAAACTTGATTGATGAAATTCTTAGGAACAATAATCTGGAAAATTTCTGATTTAAGGTTAGGGGATTTCCATCTTTTATATAAAATTCCATCTCTAATAACCAAAGCATCCCAGTAGAACCAATAAACTATCGCAGAAATATCTCTATTAATTTCTTGCAAATCAGGATGTCTATTAATTTCTTTCCCTTGAAGGAACATTGAAATAATAGGATCCTCTAATTGTTTATTCCGCCATTTCTCTGAACTATTTTCTCCAAGAATAATTCTAGCAACAGAATTTTTTTTCAATTCTACTTTGGCACAATAAATACAACCGAGTTCTGAACAAGGGCGTCTTGACAAACCATCAGCATTCTGATGCAGTCGTCCTTTTCAATGAATTATTTCGAACTCGTACTGTTGCAATCTCTCTAGCCATCGAGCTAATTGTCCTTCTAAATCTTTGAATGACAAAAGCCATCTCAAAGAAATATGATCCGTTCGAATTTGGAATTTCCTTCCATATAGATAATGATGAAAAGACTTCATTGATGCCACAATTGCTAATAATTTCCTTCGTGTAATGCAATAATTCCTTTCTGCTTTATTCAAGACTCGACTGAAATAAGCGATGACTTTTTCTGAACCATTCTGAACTTGCGATAATACCGCTCCTATCCCATGATTCGAAGCATCCGTATCCAAAATGAATTGTCCGTGTTTCTTCGGAAAAGATAAAATTGGCGAAGAAACTAATCTCTCTTTCAATTCATTGAATGCCTCTTCACAAGATGAATTCCATTCAAATTTCACTTGATTTTCTATAAGAACAAATAACGGTTTAGCTATCAAAGAGAAGCCTTTAATAAATTTCCTATAATAAGAACAAAATCCTAGAAAACTTCGAATTTGTTTCCTATTCTGAGGAACAGGCCAATTTCTGACGGCAGAAATCTTCTCAGGATCCGTCGTAATTCCATGTTCAGAGATAACATGACCAAGATAAATTAATACAATTGTCGCTCGTATATTGAAAACAAAGTGATAAATATAAGGCCAACTTATCGAGCTGAATATTCGAGATGTTCAGTCAACTACCATACATGTATAACTACAGTCATTATATTAAAACTAACGCAAATTACAATCATTCTATAAACGTTTCGACTCTTCTTCAGTATAATTCTTACAATTCACATAATATCGAACAGAATCAAGAGTTTTTGAGTAATTAACGCGTGTTTCAATCCGTCCTAACAATGTTCGCCTCGATATGATCCCTGATTTTGTTCAGATCTCGGATAGTTTCTCGTTAATAAACAAGAAATAATAATAGGACAAATTTAACGAGTAAAACATAGATATTAGATCATAGCACGCTCTCCGATCAAGTAAAAATGAGCTGTCTTTCTGTATTGTTGGTTTGTTATGTGTCATCCTTAATAACTGTCAAGAAGAACGATGATAGGTTACTACCAATCATATTATAATTGGACATGCGTTGATCGGTAATTTTTTATAAATCGCAGCGCCTACGGAACGGGTTAATTTCTCGCATATTAACGATGAAACTATCCGAGATCTGAACAAAATCAGGGATCATATCGAGGCGAACATTGTTGGACAGGACGGATTGAAACACGCGTTAATTACTCAAAACTCTTGATTCTGAATAACTATAATTAAATTTCGATATTATGTGAATCAATAATTATACTGAAGAAGACCGCGTGCGGTCGAAACGTTTATAGAATGATTGTAATTTGCGTTAGTTTTAATATAATGACCATCTCGAAATTCAGCTCGATAAGTTGGCCTTATATTTATCACTTTATGACCAAGATATTTTACTTCTCTTCCAAAAAGCGAACACTTCTTAGGGTTCAATTTCAAATTTGTTGAGCGAAAGCGAAGAAAGACTTTCCTCAAATTTTCCATCATCCGCTCGAATGTTTCACTGAAAACAATCACATCGTCAAGATAAACTAAACAGATCTTCGATAAAACATCTTGAAGAACTTTCTCCATCAACCGTTCAAAAGTAGCGGGGGCATTGCAAAGTCCAAATGGCATGACAGTAAACTGCCACAATCCATTTCCCACAGAGAAAGCCGTCTTCTCCTTGTCTTTGGAGTCCAGCTTTACTTGCCAATACCCGCTCTTCAGATCCAGAGTAGAGAACCAAGAATTTCCTGAAAGTTGATCCAAAATATCTTCAATTCGAGGCAATGGATATGAATCTTTCACCGTGACAGAATTCAGCTTCCTATAGTCGACGCAAAATCTTAACGATCCATCTTTTTTCTTTACCATTACGACAGGAGAAACCCACGGACTTTTAGATTCTTCAATAACTCCCTGAGACTTCATTTCTTTAATGATTTTATTGACTTCTTCTCTTAAATGAATCGGAACTCTACGTGGAGCTTGTTTAATCGGCCTAGAATCCGTAACCTTAATATCGTGTTTTAAAATTCCACAGTTCCCTGCAATCAAATCCTGAGAAAATACATCCTGAAATTTTAATAAGAAATTGGCAAAAATATCTTTTTGAGAGGAATTCAAATTTTTAGAATTTTCCCCGAAAAATATCTCAAGAAAATCAGGGACTTTCCCTTTAATAATTCGAAAACAAGAAAATTCATTTTTATTTATAAATTTAACGTATAAGACGGGCAACAAGAGCCAAATCGCGGATGACAATGCGTTATCCTAACGAAACTAAATAATTTTCCGTTAGAATTAAATACCGGTGCACAAGGCACCAAATTTTACTTGGACACGGCCAAGATTTTAAAATATGAAATAATCTCATATTTGAGATTTAATTTCAATACCCCCTTTAACCCCCCTACGGAAAATAAATAAATGAATGCAAGAGAAAAATATAGATCCGAAAATCGCTGAATCGGGAAGTCGTATAATAATAAATATTATCAAAGGAACGGTTCGAAGGAGAAAAAGGAATGTTGGCATTGCGGCGCTGAGGGGCACTTCCGTTCTGAATGTCCGTCATTTACGGAAAACAAGATTTAGTCGAACTTCGCGGGGCAGGTTCGGCTAATTGCGTGATAGCCCCAAATTCATTTTTATTATTCTCTTCAATATTTCCAAATTGGGATTCAAAAACTTTTTCTAGATTTATTTTTTCAAGAAAATCTATCCCAAAAATGCAATCATCAGAAATGTTAGCAACAATTATAGGAATCTCTACTTCATGCTTTCCTAATTCAATCAAAACGTTAACTTTATATTTTACTCCAATTAATTCCCCTGTAGGATATTTAAGATAACAATTGTTTATTTCCAAATATTCTTTCGATTCTTTCAAAAATCCCTCTCTAAGAATAGAAACATCGGAACCCGTATCTATTTTAAATCGACAAATCTTTCCGTCCAATTTTCCTTTATAATAAAAATTATTTCTAGTTCTACTTATTCTAGCACATTGTAAAACATTTGGGGCTATCACGCAATTAGCCGAACCTGCCCCGCGAAGTTCGACTAAATCTTGTTTTCCGTAAATGACGGACATTCAGAACGGAAGTGCCCCTCAGCGCCGCAATGCCAACATTCCTTTTTCTCCTTTGGACCGTTCCTTTGATAATATTTATTATTATACGACTTCCTTTTCTCGTTATGTTTCTCTTTTGTTTCCTCGTTTTTCTCTTTGTTCTCCAATTTATTAAATTTATTAAATTTATTATATTTATTATATTTGTTAAATTTTTCAAAATTTTGATTTGGGACATTTTTATTTTTTTGAAAACTATTTTCTTGAATAACTTTTACTGCCATTGCTCTCTCTATGGCAGATTTTAATGAAATAACGCTTTCTAATTGAAGAGTTCTCTTCAAAAAGCCGTTTGATATTGCAGTAATAAACTGTGCGCAAGCAATTTTATCTCTAACTTCATGAAAACACTCAGGATAGGCTAATCGGGACAATCTGTCTAAATCCGCGCCAAGAGAAGCCAAATCTTCCGAACTCTTTTGTCTACGATTCGTAAATTGCGCGTAATAAGACTGAGCCGAATGCTCTTCACCGAAACGTAATTCTAATTTTGACTTTAAATCCGCGAACTCTAAATTTTCAATCTCCGAAATTCCATCCTAAACGGTCCGCGCTTTCCCTCTTAAGGGGTTAGGCCAGTCTAGGATTTTCAAAAAATCGAAATTTTTTTTATTGGCTTAAATTCCCCCTAGGGTCCTAAAAACATTATTCAATTGGTAGAATAGTGAAAAAACAATTTTTTCCCTGTCCAATCCGTTGTAGTGTCAAAGCGTTCGGAGCGGGCGACGAGCGCATTTTCTACTTGCCGCGGCGGGCTTCCTTTTGTCCCCTTTTTACCTTACTCTTTGCACTAATGTACCAACGGGGCCAATAATTGTTCCCCAAAAGGTCGTTAGGAAGTGTTTGTTTATCAATACAGCTGTATGTGTGGGCTTGTGTGTGAGTCAGACAGCTGAAAAACGACACCACGCGTGAACGCTTCTTTTTGTTTTCGTTAATTTTTCTGCTTTAACGAATTATTTTATTTTATTTTATTGACTACAGTGGTTTTTACTGATAAACTATCATTGTTAACAATATGAGTGATGACAAGAAGCCAGTTTATTCGGTGCAAAAGAGGACGGAAATCCAAAGCAGATGGACCAAGCATTTCAAAGCGGCAGCGTCCGTTAAATCGCTTTGAAATGGAGCAGCCTAGTGAGAACGTTGGTACGTCTGCTAAGAAATTATCTGCAAATAATTCAGATGATATTGAAGTGAATCCTAGTGTTGGATACAGGATGATAGACTTTTTGACAGTGTTTACAGCAATTTCTCAAGTAGTTGTTTGTAAAAAGTGTAAGTCCGATGTAGAATTTACTGAAACGGGAAATCGTGGCTTGGGTTTCAAGATTGTGATTACGTGTAAAGAATGCGATAAAGTTTTTGTTCCGAGCTGTTCATTTATTGATAAAGCATACGAAATTAATCGCAGAATCATTCTTGCAATGCGATTAATCGGAGTGGGATTACACGGCATACAAAAATTTTGTGCATTCATGGATCTTCCACGGCCGATTTTTCATTCATTTTATGACTCTTTAGTAAAATGTATTCATAGTGGTGCAGAAATAATGTGTGAGCAAAGTATGAAGAAAGCTGCTCAAGAGGAAAAAGAAAAACCGATGAATCGAGTAACTCCGGAGGAATAGCTGTGTCCGGTGATGGATCATGGCGAAAACGAGGATTCTCGTCGCTTTTTGGATTCGTCTCGCTAATTGGATGGAAGACTGGTAAAGTTGTGGACGTTTCGGTAAAATGTAAGTACTGTAAAGCATGCGAATTTTGGAAAACGAAGGAAGGTACAGCAAATTACGAGGAATGGTTGGAAACCCATGCCGACGAATGCCAAGCTAACCACGAGGGCTCTTCGGGCCTCATGGAAGTCAATGCTGTTTGCGAAATGTTCCAGCGCTCTAAATCTTTACACAACCTGAAATATACTAGCTATATCGGAGATGGAGACTCTAAGACATATACGGGTATTGTAAATTCATCACCTTATGAAGATTCGATTGTCCAGAAAAAAGAGTGTATCGATCACGTCCAGAAACGCATGGGTACGCATCTCCGGAATTTAAAAAAGAAAACAAAGGGCCTCGGCGGAAAAGGTAAACTAACTGGCAAATTGATCGATGAACTGTCAATTTATTATGGTCTAGCGATACGCAGAAATCATGATTCTGTAGAGAAAATGAGGACTGCGATCTACGCAACGCTAGATCACAAATTATCAACAGATGCCAAGCCCAAGCACGATCACTGCCCGAGCGGAGAAAATTCGTGGTGCTCGTGGCAAAGGGCCAAGGCCACTGGAACTTTGGACAAATATACACATAAACCACCTTTACATGAAGAAGTGTACAAGACTATAACTCCAATTTATGAAAAATTAACCAGTAATGACCTACTCACTCGTTGCATAGGCGGCTTCACTCAAAACAGTAATGAGAGTTTCAACGCTACAGTATGGTCGACGGCCCCAAAAGTGACATCCAGTGGCAAAAATGTACTTGACACAGCTGTATATATTGCTGCAGGTACTTATAATGATGGCCTCACAAGTGCCATGAGAGTCATGCAGAACATAGGCATCAAAATTGGACCAAACTGCTATAATTACTGTCAAGAGACTGATCAAAACCGCATCAAATTATCCGATCGTTCGCTCTCAGATGCTGCAAGAAGATCTAGAATCGAACAGAAGTCATCCAGAAAGGAAGAAGATGAGTTCCACGTGTCCATGGAAGGTGAAATGTACGGCGCAGGCATTGCAGACTGAAGGTATAACAAAATTTTCAGCACGTAAAACTTTAAACGCGTTTTTCTTGAAACTGCATTTTTCAAATCGGGCGACGATGGTACTCGGAGACTATCGCACGTATCCACTTGAAATTTTAACTGTAGCTTCACAGTAACGTTATCTAGTAAACTACGTACGATTTTTTTGTTATCATTGCAACTTTTTTTTTTATAAACAATTTACTGCACATTTTTTCGGTCAAAAATTGAACCTTTTTTTTACAAGTCCGCCATTTTGCGAAAAATTGATGTAAAGCTAAAAACATACGTACTTTACTAGCAAATCTTATGTAGATTAAAATCCCGTTCTTTATTTTGTTTCAGATAGCACGAGTTCCTAGAATCACCGTCGCCCGTAGAGGCCCTCTTGAAAAAGGTGATTCCGAAGATTGGCTCAGTAGCCGCCATTTTGTATCAAAATGTCATAATAAAAATTTTTTATACACTCAAATACATGTTTAATAAAGCCTGAAAGAGAGAAATTCCATTTCTTTTTCCTTACTCCCAGAATAAATTGTCAAAGTTAGGCCTTTTTTGAGGACTCTAGACTGGCCTAACCCCTTAAACAAGCGGCAAGAGCCAAGGTCTTTTGAAACGAATTCCAACCATTAGCTCGCGCTATAAAATCGGACTGGGCAATAAATTCGCGCAAGGGTACACTCCCGTCAAAATTCTCGGGTTTGAGCTTATATCCAAGCTCAAAATTATTGTGTAAAACATTGTTCGATTCGCTATTTCTACGTGTGGTGTTGTTTGGAATTCTATTATGTGTGTGACTTAGCTGGTTATTTTCCGATGAGGCGAGTCTTTCCTGTAATCGGTGCAGTTCCTCGTCCCGCTGTTGCAGCATCGTCAAAAATTGAGCCTGCTGTTGTGAGCGTTCCTCTCGCAATTCTCTAATTTGTTCCAACGCCTCCTGTAAAGCGTCCACGCGCTCGGGAGTTTCCTCGCTGTTAATCGCTCGAAGTGGAGTCGACTGTTGTTCTTCGCCGATCATTGCTCGTGACGAAGCTTGCGAACGAGTAATCCTCGGAGAATACACCAAAGACATCGTAACCTTTTCACCGCACACACACACGAAATATTTGTCCTTTTTTTTTTACTACGGTTCGTGGCTCGTGTTACGTCCGGACGAGCCCCCAAAATGTTACGTCCGCGACCACCCTTCGGATTATCTCGAAGAAATGTCGCGCGCACTCAAACTCTCACACGCCGGAAATGAATACACTCGCGTAGTAAAGCAATAAACTTTAATATTAGAAGCCAATAAACCGTAGCGATACAATATAATATTACGTGCATTAATCCTAATGCAAATATATCCGCCGATCAGCTGTCAGAGGATACGTCCTCACCGCACGACAGCTAGACCAGAACAAAACGCATCGATAGACATAAACAGCTTCTTAGCGACGATAGAAGATCCTGATAGAAGACTCTGATAGAAGATCCTAATAGAAAATCCTGACGATCGTATAATACAGGGATGTATCGTCAAACGAGCGGGACACGGACATAACAATATATATATATATATATATATATATATATATATATATATATTGTTATGTCCGTGTCCCGCTCGTTTGACGATACATCCCTGTATTATACGATCGTCAGGATTTTCTATTAGGATCTTCTATCAGAGTCTTCTATCAGGATCTTCTAATATATATATATATATATTATAACCGTATCGCGCGGAATTCGCAGCGAATATCAATTCGTCGCGTAAGGAGAAACGTCTCCTGCGGAATATCGGTTCCCTTCGGCGCAATCTCTCCGTCCGATTACAAAAAAAAATTATAACAAAAAAAATAAAAAAGAAAACTAAAATCTCGATTTAGTTGGGCGCCAGGTGCGGCAGCCGCACCGTCTCTCAATTAATAAATTCGCGGGACGCTAAGTCTTGATGTACTCGAACTTATTGTCCCAGCCCTCTCGCGGGCGTCAATCACGGGAGAGAGAGAGATCGCGACGGCAGCTTTCCCGCTCGGCTAGCCTCTGTACGGGTAAGGGTTCGGGTGCGTGGTGGCGAGAAATTACCCGAGGAATTAAAGTTAATAAAACATATATTTAAATTTTGTTCATAAGACACATGAGTATATAATATACAGAAATAAGCGGCGTGCACAGACGCACGATTGAGAGTTTGGTGAGGCAATACGACCGGTGGTTCGCCGGGCCGAGTTATGAATAATATTTAACTAATTCGCGGCAACGAGGTAGTGTCTCCAATAACAAAAAAAATTGATTAATTAAATCGGCGATGCACCACCGGGTATATTACTCCACGCCGCGGGCGCGTGATCCGCGCGGTATGCGCGACAACAAAGGGGCCGGCGTAAGGGCGCACCGCGTGCGCCGTACATAAATTCCATACACAAAATCAAACGTAATCACGCCTTTTCTTTTAAGACAACATCAATACTTTAATGAGCCCAAAAGCGTTTATGAGCTCCCCGATTTTGCGCCTCGAACAATATTCGGCAACGCGTAAATCGCGGTAATTTTCGCGCGACAATGTTACGCGCGAAGACTGTCCACGCGGGAGAGAGAATATGCGGAAACGCAAGAGAGTGGATGGGTCGTAGTTTCTCCCAATAGAGTTTCGTTACGTTAATACCGCGACTCGACAATAAAACTAATCTCTCGCAATTTTATAACGGGCCGGCAACCAAGTCCGGCATAATCTCTTAACGATAGGTAATTCGGGACCCATCCACCCTGCTACCTTAATTCGGCGACAGCAGGATGATTACGTCGTCTCACCAGTCCTGTAACGATCCTCATCGTCCTCTCCTCTCTCGCTCTCTCTAAGTCGCGCTTCCGTCTCGGGACCTCCACTCTCTTCGGGTGCTCGCTAGACAGTGCAGAATCGGGGGCCCTCAGGAGACACGTCGGTGACCCAATTACCTAGATAGGCCACTCGCGGCGCTATCAGGTCGGCCGCGCGCGCGGCCTCGGTGATCCTTGCGGCCGCGCGCTTAATTATCTTTACCCGCGGAGTCCTGATCCGCGGGTTGCCCTTCGTAGGCGGTTGTCGCGGCAGCGCACGGCAGGGCCGCTCCTTGCTCTCCTTCGGGATTCCGGATGTCCCGGGGGCGGCAGCTCTCCTGCCGGCGCTCCGTATGCGGGGACTCGGGTGCTTGTTGCACCAGAGTGGCCATCCCCTGCTCGCTCCTGGAAGGTACAAATTTTTAGGCAGTGGCACCTACTCCGTTGTCGGATGTTCGGTGAAGAAATTTTGAATCTTGGGCTTACCGGGCGTGTCCCTGACGAAGGGGGTCCCCGTCGTCCTGTTTCCTATGCTTTCCTATTTCTCCTCCAGGGTTTCTTTCTCGGCTGAGACTCGTCGCACATCCTGTCTGCCGCCGAAATAATCCTAACTCTCAACAAAAAATATACGAAAACGCGTAGCAGCGGGATCGCGTCCGGTCCCGCGCTTTTCGCACGCACGCTCTCTTTCTCTCTCTCTCTCGCTGTCTCGGGAGAGCAGAGGTCCCGTGCCCTCCCCCGATCGGGCCATTCAGCCCTTGTGACGGACAATTTCAATTTGTCACGTCACAATATATATATATATATATATATATATATATATATATATATATATACAGGGTGTCCCAAAAAGATCGGAACACTGAACAATCTCGAAAAGTATATCTTCAAAACGCATAATAAAACATTATACGCATCATAAAATATTATATTACACATTTTCTATCATCTTACCAAATACAGCATTATTTATCAGTTTATATAAATTTTTGATACTCTAAATCTACTTCAAGGATATAGCCTTTAGATGAATCGAGCGCAATAGATAATACATCAAAATTAGATACATCGACTCATCGAGAATCGGCATAAGGCAATGGTTGACACATTGCCCATCCGTACAAATTATTTACGTCAAAATACATGAAATACGATGATGGTTTCAATGGATCATACGATTGCATATACTTGTTATTAGCATGTGCATATCTGCTTGAACATTGACTTATGTAGACCACCGCGTATACTCCGTTCGATAAACATGACCATGCCAATGTCTGTTAATAATTCAAACGTAATATTTGTATGTTTTAACATGGCATCCCATGTATTCCGGAAGGGTATAATAATACGTGGGGTCAAGTCCATAACTTTTAATACAACTATCCCGAAAATTTTCAAAAATATCTGCTAATAACAAGACATCAATTTTCAAATATAGATCGCTATATTCGTCTAGCGTTCCAAGGGAAAATCGTTTTCAGACGTTCTCGGCGTGCGCGTAATCGCTCTCGATACTGTGTCACCGATCAAGGAACTGTAGAATGAGTCACGCGGTGGTAAACGTGTATCTTGCAATTTAACTACACAATCTATATATTTATACGGAAAGACGCCCTTCCGAGTTAATAAATTGAATTTTTCAGCTATCAATGCGAGTTTTAATTGGCTTCTGCTTTTCTGCTAAAGTGTGAATCCGGCCTTAGAATCGGTTAATCTTTAAAAATTTATTGATTCTCAATTAGTTTCATTGAAGAGAACAGTTGGTTATAGTTTAATATTTTTCTAGGCACGAAAATGTTTTGCCTTGCTTGTCACATCATGGCTTATCTGCGGGTCTGCGATCTGCAGATAATTTAATATTTTAATATTTTATAATAAATATCGTCTTACGTTCTCCGAAAGAAAGAATCGTAAAGTAAGCAGGGCCTAATACTAGAGTAAATCTCATTTAGAGAGCTGTCAACTAGCTTATCTTTAAGGCACCGCGAGTTATAGTTTAGAATTTATAGATTAGTCTGTTTGGCTCTCGCGGTTTGTACATCTTTTATTTTGACGATTTAGCTCTCTCGGATTATGTTTACTTTGCCTGTCAGATCGTATGCTTACGTGAGTTTTCTATGCGTCTGCTATATTTTAGATATCGCATTGCGTTCTCCGAAAGAAAGGATCGTGGAGACTGCAGGACGTAACAATATTTAATAATTATTTGCGCGATAATTACGGCGTTAGTTCCTTTGTCTTTTTTTTTATTTTTATATTTAAATTTACGCAACCTGTATCTACTTATTTAATTTAATTATTTAAAACAAATATTTTGTATTGTTCTTGAATCTTTTGTATCATTATATTATTATCATATTATGTATTTAAGTTCATATCAATATTATGAAACGTATTCTTCCAAGGCAAACGATACTCTATTGTTCCTATACATAAAACCAAAACATTATTTCACTTGTGTAAGAAGCAAATAAAGCAAACTTTAAGGCATAATAATTTTTAGTCATTCAAGCAATATTCAACAGAAATCGTTATCTCACATTTCGCATCTCATTCAAAATGTTTTACATAAAATTAATTGCATCTTTTTGCAAACATTAAAGAAAGTTATTTTATTATCAATATCATTATGAACTTACAACTAAATCGCATTAAGAATTACATGTAACACATAAATTTTTTATTTATTTTAATTTATTTCGCTGTTTTAAAGAGCACAATTTTTTCACAATTTTAACAGATGCAGTTTTTAAATCATAAGCTAAACCTAGATAAGCAAAAAAATCAATAAAAGCTGTAGCAATATTGAGCTTATAATTTCCAAGTTCCGCCGCTTTGTAATCCCAAGGGAAAACGTGATGATAATTGTGCCAGCCTTCGCCACACGATATAAAAGAGACAACTGCATTTTCGGTGGGGCTAATTGATCTGTGATAAAATAAACATTTCTAAATAGTACCACGATATAATACAATAAACAATTTATTAATTTTGAATGATAGTATGTATATGTTTTAATTAATTTTAAATAATAGTATGTATTTGTTTACATATAATAAGTTGTACAGCATATAAGTACAATATATATAAATATAATATGTACACACAAAAGTATGTACGTACTTATCATATGGTTTCACACCCCACATGTGAGCTGCGGAATTTATTGATAATATTGTGTGTAAATTTATGACACATCTAGTCATGTTAAGATGCCACGCACACCACAGATTCTCACTCCATACCCACCAAGGTATTAATGTCGGTATGATAAAGCAGCAAAATAACATCAAATATTGGTACCATCTAAAAAAAGTATAAATAAACGAAACAAAACCATTAAATATAAATTTAACGTATAAGACGGGCAACAAGAGCCAAATCGCGGATGACAATGCGTTATCCTAACAAAACTAAATAATTTTCCGTTAGAATTAAATACCGGTGCACAAGGCACCAAATTTTACTTGGACACGGCCAAGATTTTAAAATATGAAATAATCTCATATTTGAGATTTAATTTCAATACCCCCTTTAACACCCCTACGGAAAATAAATAAATGAATGCAAGAGAAAAATATAGATCCGAAAATCGCTGAATCGGGAAACGAACCCGAGACCTTTCGCTTGCCGGGCGACTGCTCTTCCAGCTGAGCTATTCAGATCCTTTCGATTCTATACTTTTCTTTGTTATATATATTAATGTTGGTAAACAAACGCATTTTTAAGCCAGCGTGTATCAATATAAGAGTTTTAACAAGGCTCTGTAATATAAATATAAATTTAACGTATAAGACGGGCAACAAGAGCCAAATCGCGGATTTTCGGATCTATATTTTTCTCTTGCATTCATTTATTTATTTTCCGTAGGGGTGTTAAAGGGGGTATTGAAATTAAATCTCAAATATGAGATTATTTCATATTTTAAAATCTTGGCCGTGTCCAAGTAAAATTTGGTGCCTTGTGCACCGGTATTTAATTCTAACGGAAAATTATTTAGTTTCGTTAGGATAACGCATTGTCATCCGCGATTTGGCTCTTGTTGCCCGTCTTATACGTTAAATTTATATTTATATTACAGAGCCTTGTTAAAACTCTTATATCAAAACCATTAAAGTTAAACAAACAATATATACATATATTTTTTAAATTAAATTTGCTCCTGCAGAATAAACTATGTCCATCGTACTTTCTCTGAAAGACCACAAGGCAATCTTGTTTAAGATCACTCAAGTCGATACTAGCACCCTTGCTGATGACGTCTGGATGTTTATGAACCAAAACCCAACCAATATGGGAAAAAAAGAATCCTTTACGTGCATTATATGGATCTGCATCAGTGTCAGTAAATTTATGGTGTACTCTGTGATCCCTAACCCATCCGTAAATGTGACCCTAAAATACAACTTATTAAAAATCAAATGATAATGTACGGAGGTTATAAAGAGGAGTACGGACTCGGCATCTTTACACGTATAAAATCTGCAGCAATAAAGTCGGGAAAAATAAGGGTCGACTATTTCATCACATGTGGCGCTTTGTTGCATTGCTTGGAATTTATTTACCAATTTTATATATTAAGAGATACGGTAGAGTCTTGCGCCCTGTTACCGGAATAGCCGATACACCGTGTATCTTTACGCGAAGCGGAGAGTTGAGTCTACTATAAATTTCGAATGCTCAATAACGGCTGAAGCAATCGAGTTTATACTAAACTTAATCGATAGATTGGGTTCGAATTATATAATAAAAGTGTTTTTATTTCTGCTCTACGTACTTTGTAAGCGGAAATATTTATATGCAAAGTCTAAGTATGAAAAATTTCTATTAAGAAACGTCTCCGTCACCGTCGTCATCATTCACGCAACAGCCAATCGCATGCGTTAAACTCTGTACAGTTTGAGCGTTCGACACAAGATTGCGCTGAAGGCGCTTCGTATGTACTGATACACGTTGACGTGCGGGGTTATGTATTTGATTTGATTTCTTGACATGTACATACACACATAACAGGTATGTGTGTTTTGATATTTATTTATAATATACTATATTTTTTTATATAAGAATATCTATTTTCTTGTTACGCAATCATCCTATTATTTTTTTCATAAGATTAACAATTATATTCTTATGAAAAAATAATAGAATGATTGCGTAACAAGAAAATAGATTATATTATTATGAAAAAAATATAGTATATTACATATTATATAGTATTGAATACAACATGTATTTAAGTAAGTATATAAATGCATATTTATATATTTTGATATTTGCAACTACTTTCTTGTTATGTTATCATTTTAAATTATTTCTTTTATAATAATAACTTTCTTGCTATACTTTCTTTTTTTATAAGTACATAATTATTGATGTAAAATAAGGAAACAATCTTTACCAATAATAATGATTTATATATTTATGAAAGATGTAGTACAATGGTAACGTTGCAGAAAATTATTATGAAAGAAATAGTATAAAATGATAACGTAACATAATAAAAGTAACAAATATCAAAAAGTTTATTAACACAAATATCAAATATTATTATATAAATATATATTGTATTTATGAAAGAATATGTTTGTGATATACTAAATATGGGATATGCAATACTGTACATATATGTGATTATATTATAAAAATATTTTTTCATATAATAATATCTATTTTCTTGTCACGCCATTATTCTATTATTTTTTCTAAAATATAAAATTAACAATTATATTCTTATGAAAAAATAATAGGATGATTGCGTAACAAGAAAATAGATTATAATAGTCTGTTATATATGTATATATATATATATATATATATATATATATATATATATAAATATATATATATATAAATATATATATATATATATATATATAGTAAGAAATAACCCGCTGTGGAGACACCTTTAGGTGTCAGGGCGTTTGAGGTGGTGCTTATGTAGAGTGCTGGCGAGCGAGCGCCACCGGAAGTTGACAGGACATAGAGAGACGAGCGCGGGCTGAGTCAGTCAGTCTCTCTAGAGCCTTCCTTGTAATACTTATTTACTTAAGAATATACTAAGTTTACCACTAAGGTGATTACTGATTAATCCCCGCCTCATTATTTTGACCTATGTTCTTCCATGATTAGGAATCAAACGACCCTCTTACAGCCTCAGAAGTGGGATAAAATCTATCCTCTCATTCCTGGCTCTCGACGTCCGCAGTATCGCAATTATCAACGCGCAAGTACGTCGATCGTTTATGCGATTATACCGAGCTTTGTCTTTTTGCGGATACACGTGGCTCGCGGTCAGTATCGCAGACGAGGTGAATAATGAATAATCGGTTCAAGCAGTTAAGAGACTAAGTCTAAGACTTGTGAAGAAACAAGGAAGTGCTTTGTTCGGTCGCCATATCGAGTATCGAGTCCGTGCGGTTTCTGGACAAAATCACGCGACTCTCGCCGCCATATTAGCGCCCGAGTGACTCGTTGAAGCGATCATTCTCGCTCTCTCAAAAGAGATATAGTCCTTTCTATCGCGGAAAAGTGCGTGTGGACAGTAAATTTTTTTATTACTACAAAAGTTGTTCTTGGCGTGCCGTTATCGTGTATATACTACGTGGCATTACGCTAGACAATTTTTACGCGTTGGATGTTTTCTAGCCTATTCATCGTACTTTGTGCGTGTCGGCATCGTTTGAGCGTCGTTTTCGAAGAATATGAGAGTAAACATTAATTTTTTTTCTTTTCTCGAAATTTTGTTCTTGGCGTGCCGATATCGGGTATATACTACGTGGCATTACGCTAGACAATTTTACGCGTTGGATGTTTTCTCGCCAATTTATCGTACCTTGTGCGTGTCGGCACTGAATTGGCATCTATTAAGCGTCGTTTCAGAAGAAAAAATAATAAATACTTATTAAAACAAATCGTGCATTGCAAAAACTTCTTACCAAGTAACAGGTGTTGATGTTGATATTTTCCTTTTATGTTCGAACGTAACAATAACATAATTAGACAATCAGATAAGAAATATACGTCGGCTCTCAATATTATTAATAATAATAATACATGAATTTTAAATCGGCCAATAGAGCTCAAGCGCAAAAAATTAATTCTTCGGAACTGTATCTCTTGGTTTGAGATTACTAAGTTCCATATACAAATTAATCTTGAACTTACATATGGAGAAAAATAGGCGAGAAAAATATAGGTCCAAAAAATCGCTGAAGCGAGAATCGAACCCGCGTCTTTCACTTTCCGGGCAACTGCTCTTACTAACTAAGCTATTCAGACCCTTTCAATCCTATATTTTTCATTTGCCTTTTAGTAGATGTTATTAAATAACGCCATGATTAGGCCCAGGTGTAAATAAAATCAGATAAGAAATATATGTCGGCTCTCAATATTATTAATAATAATAATACATGAATTTTAAATCGGCCAATAGAGCTCAAGCGCGAAAAATTAATTCTTCGAAACTGTATCTCTTGGTTTGAGATTACTAAGTTTCATATATAAATTAATCTTGAACTTACATATGGAGAAAAATAGGCGAGAAAAATATAGGTCCGAAAAGTTGCTGAAACGGGAATCGAACCCGCGTCTTTAATTTTCCGGGTGACTGCTCTTACCAACTTTTCTCGCCTATTTTTCTCCATATGTAAGTTCGAGATTAATTTATATATGGAACTTAGTAATTTTAAACCAAGAGATACAGTTCCGAAGAATTAATTTTTCGCGCTTGGGCTCTATTGGCCGATTTACAATTCATGTATTATTATAATTAGACAATGTTGAGAAAACAGTTTAACGGTTATACGCAACAAGCGCTAAAAGAAGAAGTCGCCAAATGAGATCTCCCAGTACCAAATACTCGAGAAAAATGTATCGATGCCATTATGGCATATTTCGAGCATTCTAATGCAAAAAAAAGAGCAGGATCAGATCGAGTGCTAAACACGTTTAAAGAAGCAGGCACAGCAAGAGCAGCCTCGCCTTCATCGGAAGCTTCTGGACAACAAATCACTCACAGTGCAGTATCAAATGAAGCATCCTTACCGCTATATTGCTCATTACTGGTGGAACAAATTAAACAGCAACAAGCTCAAATCAACAATCAAGAGACAATGAAGCAGTTATTAGAAGCATTATCTCTCGGAAACGGGAATCAGCGTGCCTGTGTCAATCCAGCTTCTATGTCTCAGGGGGAGAGGCTAGAAGACAATTTCAGTACACCAAATGTACAGCAGCAACCTACCCTGGCTACTACTTCACCGACCCAAGCCGTTCAACTTTTGTCGTCGCAGATTTCGGATTTTAGTGGATCTGAGGACGAGAATGTATAGAACTGTGGATACAGAAAATAAAAGGTCTTGCAAATCTATGGGATCTCATCAAACATAACATTCCTCGCAGCAACAAATAAGCTCAAAAACTGGCTCGCCGTTGATATGACACAAATACCGGCTCAGCTATAGAATCATGGACTGGTTTTAAAGAAGCTATCATTAAGATGTTTAAAAAGAAAATCCTTTTTCACGTGGCTTTGCAAAAAATAGAGGTTTGCGTGTGGAATTTTACTAAGGAATCATTTCAAGAATACGCAACAGACAAGATTGCATTGATGCAGAGCATGAATTTACCAGAACAGGACGCTATTCATTTACTAATTAACGGAATAGGAAGCTTAGCCCTGAAAGGCGTCGCCGCGCCCATTCGAGCGGAATCGATAGCTTAATTTTTGGAAGACATGCGCAACATAACTTCTTCGTGTGGAAACGCATCAAGAATCAAGCAAGAGAAAAAAGAGAATAAATCAACAAGAAACAAATCTGAAGATAAGAAAACGCAACCATCAAAAATAGCTAACAAAGTCTTCTGCGTTTACTGCAAAACTAAGGGTCATCTCCGGTCTGACTGCACCAAGTTAAAGAAGAAAGAATAACGAAAGCAGCCTTTGATCTCATTATCGTCAGCAGCCGTAACAGAAATCAAAGACAAATCGTCAGATGAAACAACAGTAGCAGTAGTGAGTGAGAAGGACAAAAATCCATCAAAACGGGTAAAATTGTTCAATCGCTTTCCGAAATTGGCGATATTGCTTGTAAGATGAATGCACTTTTGGATACCGGTAGTCTTATATCATTGATTTGCCGTTCTGCATACGAAAAATTTGAAAAACCTTACAATTAATTCGGAAATTAGCTCATTTTTAGCGGTAAACGGTACCCCGTTAGATTTAATTGGATCGGTAGAAACAAAAATAAAATTAGAAGAATTTTCAAATATCCCGACAAACATTAAATTATATATAAATTTAACATATATAAGATAGGCAATAAGAGCCAAATCGCGGATGACAGTGCGTTATTCTAAACGAAACTAAATTTTTTCGTTAGAATTAAATACCTGTGCACAAGGCACCAAATTTTACTTGGACACGGCCAAGATATAAAATTGGAATAATCTCTACAAGAGATTTTTAATTCCATGTATCCCCTATTCCCGCTGAAGAAATAAAATGCGAGAGAAAAATATAGATCCGAAAGTCGCAGAATCGGGAATCGAACCCGAGACCTTTCGCTTGCCGGGCGACTGCTCTTCCAACTGATTAAATTATATGTTTTAAACGGTGACTTGTTCTCTACGAATTTAGTAATAGGACGCGATTTTCTCATTGATAATAAAATCGATCTTATAAACAAACCGTCCTTAAACGAAACAAAAGATAAACTACAACTTCTCCGAGAAGTAGCATCAATTGATAATATAGAGGCCCATCTGATAATTTAGAAGATATCCTCGTTAATATGGAAATCGATTTTGATGACTCAATTAAAAAACAACTAGTTTCTACTATTAAAAACATAGAAAATACACAAATTGATAGAATCCACGACGATTACTTCGTTAAAGTTTCACTTAAAAACGATTCCATTTACAATTATAGATCCAGACGTTTTGCAAATTTTGAAAGACAGCAAATCCGAAAATTAACTGACGATCTTTTAGCTAGAGGAATAATTAAAGAAAGTAAATCGCCTTACTGTGCTCGAATCGTCTTAGTTAAAAAGAAAAACGGGTTATTTCGTCTTTGCATAGATCTTTGTCCCCTGAATGAACGAGTAGTGAGACAAAATTTTTGTTTTCCATATATTAAAAACTGTTTATCCAGCCTCGGGGGAAAAAAGATTTTTACGTTATACTTGACTTCAAAGACGGATTCCACAATATTAAATTACATGTGGAATCTACTCAATATTTCGCATTCGAGACACCAGACGGGAATTTTGAATACAATCGATTACCCTTCGGATTCTACGATGCTCCGGCTGAATTTCAACGGAGACTCGTGTACATTTTAAGACCGCTAATTAGAGAGGATAAGGTTATAATTTATATGGACGACATATTAATCCCTTCGATTACAATTATAGAAAATATCAACAGCCTTAAAAGAGTCCTCGTAATTCTAAAACAGTACAATTTTTAACTTAATTATCAAAAATGTTATTTTTTTAAAAATACTATTGACTATTTAGAATACGTTATTTCACCGGAAGGAATAACACTTAGTTCTCGTCATACTGACGCAGTTAAAAATTTTCCACAACCCAAAAAAACGGTAGAACTTCAAAGATTTTTGGGGCTAACTATTTCAGGAAATTTATTCCGAACTACACATCAATAGTTAAACCTTTGAATAATCTTTTAAAGAAATCGACTATTTTTTCATTCGACAAAAATTGTCAATTAGCATTTAACACTTTCAAACAGATATTAATAGCCCAACCAGTACTAAAACTCTATAATCCACACCTTCCAATCGAACTACACACAGACACTAGTGCAATAGCGTTAGCTGCAATTCTGTTGCAAAAACAGGAGACTAATCAGTGGGCTTCCGTAGCATATTATAGTCAAGCAACAAACAAAGCGGAAATAAACTATCACAGTTACGAACTTAAAATTGCTGGCTGTGATAAAATTGAGGAATGGGCCGGGAGCTTATTAGACTCAAGCCTCTCGGGAAAAAGTACCATCGGGGCCATCCAACCCTGTTTAGCGGATTAGCTAAACAGGGCTCATGAAGGTGTTACAGAATGACTTAAGTGCTCACTGAGCATGGTTGCTTTGGTAAATACCTGAGTCGTATTGGGAAGGAACGCATGATACGTTACTAGCATTTCGGCCACGAGCGGGATACCGCCCAGCACATCCTGCAGGACTGTGTTGCCTGGGCGGGGGAGAGAGTGATGCTCGTGGCCGCGATAGGACAGGATCTGTCATTGCCGGTCATAGTAAAGGCGGCAGTGGCAGAAAAAGAAAAATGGAGAGCCTTCTCTTCCTGCGAAAACATAATGCGGCAGGAGGAGAAGGAAAGAGAGCGCGAGCGAGATAGAGGTAGAAGAAGAGAGTGGGGGGAAGAAACAGAGAGCGACGTGGAGGAAGGAGAAGACGGGGACATGCCTCCTCTCACTCTCCATCGTGGGAGGGGGGGGTGTATTCCTCTAACGCCTGCGTCTGATTTAGACTCAGGATGAGGTCTTGGGGGGAAGGCCGGGGACAACTAAGTCCTGGAGCTCCCTCTCGAAGATCTCTTGTTAAACGGGGGTCGGGTCGGGTAGCCTGCGCTTTGCGCGCGCTGCGCGGCCAGGCCCCCAAATGGGCAACCTCCTTGATTGCGGTCGAATCCCAACTCCTACGAGAGCGGAGAGAGCCGTAACCGTGGAGGGGGGAGTGTGCTTCGGGGGCTGGACTTGTCCAGCCAACGGAGCTCGAAGCCTCTCCTCTCGGACATAAATGCAGCATGGGCGCCCTCTTATCGGGAGCCGAAAGGCATCGGAGTAAGGGCGTCCATGTTGTAGAGGGGGACTCTCCTTCTGAGAAAGTCTTTCTGGTGAGGACCTCCGAGTTGAATGTCAAATTTCCTTCAGGAGGGGATCCTATAAAAATGTAACTCGGCGCGTTGATAAGTTTCAAAATTACAAAACACTTTAAAGAAAACATTAATTAATTTAACTACAAAATATATTTAATTGCAATAAGTTTGTAACAGCCGCTTATCACGAGCGTCGGACTGCTCAGTCGGAATCAGGGCTCGTGAAAGGGTCGACAGGACTCCATGGATTTTAATACTGATAAAACCGTTTATTCGTGTAAACAATCACACTGCAGTAATGTACCAAATAGAATCCGAGCGCGAGTATACTTCAAAATATACTTAGAGCGCGAGTAACATAATAAATAGAATCAGAGCGTAGGCTGCATGCGACATAAAATTACAGCGCAAAGATTATAACACGCAATATGCGCAAGGCGCGAATAACATATGTTTGAGATGCAAAATAAATCTTATCGTCTGTTAATTACTTCGGCAGTAAACCGTTATTAGGATTTTCAATTTATACAAAATTCGATCTCGAATTTTGTTATTTGGTAAATTCTGGAATCATCGATCAGTAATAATAAAGTCACGTTTGTTTTGTATAATAGAATAAAAAGAAGTCATAAATTTACAGCTGTCACATAAAAAACGCTCAAATATACAAACAAGTAACGGTGTCGCAACCGTTCCGCCGAATAATTACATGCTATTGAGCATGCGCTACTTTAAAAATCACGCAAATTATTGGCGCTTTACGCGAAGGTGGGCTCCGCTCCAAAAATTATAAAAGAGGAGCTCACCCCGGCGTAGGGGCCTTATCGCTTTCCGCCGTGTACGCATAAGTCAAACCGCCTCAAAAAAAACCGCAGAACATTTATATCGACAACCGCCGCTCTTTCTTTTGATTTGATTTCTCCGCTGAAACTAATTAAACTTTATGTTAATTTTGTGCGTGTAATTGTTAAATATTGTACATTATATTTTAGTAAAGATTCGTATATTAAAGGTTTCTTTATACTACAACTGACTCATCCTTTGTCGTGTCGCGCGATTCCTCACGCAGCGCGTTCGCGAACATATTTCTGGTCCTTCGAGCCGGATCTTCTCGCCGGCACCCGCAAGTTTGTGAACGTGACTTCGTGTAGTTCGTGGGTGCTCTTAGTTCACCATGGATGTGAACACGTTGATCGACTGTCAACGTGAGATCCAGGTCCGCATTTCACGCTCCGTGGAATATTTGAAGAAGTTGGGCACCACCAACATCACCGCCAGTGCCGTATCCACACGCACCAGAATCTTAGATCAGCTGTGGACGAAATTCGAGACACAGCATGATCTCATTCGAGCGGCTCTGAAAGAGAAATTTTGCGAGAGCGATTACTACAAGTCGGAGTTACATGGCGATACGGAAAATCTGTACGTAGCACAACGCAGTACTTTAGATAGTTATACCGAACATTTTCGGAAGCCGAACGTGTCTCCATCCGTCGACGTCGCATCAAAGTCTTCGCTGCCGCGCATCAAGTTGCCGCCGTTCTCTGGCGCCTACGCTGACTGGCCATCCTTTCGCGATCTCTTCCTGTCAGTCGTGAGCAGCAATTCAATCTCGAACATTGAGCGCCTTCATCACCTCCGCTCGTGTCTGACAGGTCCGGCTGAAAAGTTGATAAAGTCACTACCTGTCACGAGTGACAATTACGATCGCGCTTGGGCAATCTTGGACAAGCACTACAATAACAAAAGAGAGTTGATCCGCTCCAACTTTGCCACGTTTACCGCCGTGCCAAAGATGAAGGGAGATACCGCCGAGGAGCTGAGCCGCATTCACAACGCTGACACCGCCGCAGTCAACGCACAGGAGAGTATCGGACGTCCTATCAACTCGCACGGGATGGATCTGTTCAACCACATGGTTGTCGAATTGTTCGACGCACGCACTCGTCTCGAATGGGAGTCAACCACTTCAGACCCCACCGAACCACCACGGAACGAGGCACTTCTCGACTTCATTAGTCGACGGATCTTGACACTCAACGCCGCACGACCGAGGAGTGTCACAAAAGGATCTGGAGAGACATCACGATTCGTCAAAGCGCACGTCACGAAGCACCAAAACACAGATTCACCTCAGTGTGTACTGTGCCGTGAAAACCATACACTGATGACGTGCAAGGGCTTCAAGGCCAAGACCGCGGTTGAGCGGAAAACGTTCGTGGAGGCCAACCGACTGTGCTTCAACTGCCTAGGCAATCATTTCCTAGCACGGTGTCAGTCAAAAAGGAACTGCCTCACGTGCAACGCGCGACACCACACCATGCTGCACGGGGCAGCCACATCAACACCACCTGCTGAGGCCACTTCACTTGCCACCACACTGGCCACTGCACGGCAAACTGAAACACACAAGGCCGTCCTCCTCGCAACCGCTCGCGTCAAGATCGCTGATCGCTACGGATCACCACACGAGGTTCGAGTCTTGATAGACCAGTGCTCCGAGGTGTCCATCGTCTCTGAGGCACTGGCTCAGCGTCTTCGGCTGCCTCGAGCTTCAACAGATCTGTCCATCTTTGGCATCGGAGGGACTCGCTCTGGATCAGCGCGTGGCAAGGTCACGCTAGACATCACATCTGACGTGACCAATGTCGAGCTCCGCGTGGTTGCTTTTGTGCTGCCTCGCATCTCATTGCAGCAAGGCACCTCTCAACGCGAAGATCGTAGCTGGCCTCACATCCAAGGACTTCGACTGGCCGACCCGCGCTTCCTGGACGACGATCCTGCGGAGTTACTTCTTGGAGCAGAAGTTTACGCATTGATCCTCGAGGAAGGTCTTCGCAAGGGCGGATCACGGATGCCGATCGCCCAACAGACGAGCTTAGGATGGATCCTGTCCGGGGGCTACGATGCAGCAGCAACCGAAGGACATCGCAGCACGTTCCAGTGCACCGCAGACCACGACCTCGCTGACATGGTTCGACGCTTCTGGGAGCAGGAACGCGAGCCAGTGGCTGGGACACCGCTTACCGCCGATGAAGCCAGATGCGAGGACATCTACGTGCGCACGGTCACACGCACGTCCAGTGGACGATACATGGTGAGGCTGCCATTTACCTCACCGCCGCCGACATCGCTCAGCGAGACTCGTCGACCTGCTGAACGCCTACTGGATGCCATGGAGCGGAAAGGAGCACGAGATCGTCGTTTCGGTGACCTCTATCTAGACTTCATGGAGGAATACGAGAACCTACAACATATGGAGAAGGTTAGCACAACTACAACAACTGGCAGCCCCAGGTGTTACTTACCGCATCACGGGGTCCTCAAGGAGTCAAGCACGACCACGAAGCTCAGGGTCGTGTTCAACGGCTCCCAGCGCACACGGTCCGGAGAGTCGCTGAACGCACACCTCCTCACTGGAGCCAATCTCTTGCCAGCACTCGCTGACGTCCTACTTCGTTGGCGTTGGCATCGGTCGTGCTCGTCACGGACATCGAGAAAATGTACCGACAAATCCTCGTGCATCCGGAGGACTGTCGCCTGCAAACTATCCTGTGGCGCCACAACAGCTCTGACGACGTCCACGAGTACGAGCTGAGGACCGTGACCTATGGGCTAGCGTGTGCACCCTTCCTCGCCATCAGGACTCTTCATCAACTCGCAGCAGACGAAGAGGCACGATATCCACGCGGAGTCAAGGCACTGCGACACGACTGCTACGTCGACGACGTGGTCACCGGCGCCGATAGCTTGGAAGATGCTATCGACCTTCAGCAGGAACTACGGAGTCTTTGCACGGCGGGCGGATTTCCTTTGAGAAAGTGGGCCGCCAACGATCCTCAGGTGCTCACAGGAATTCCACCAGAACATCAGCTGCAACGTGGGCCGCACTCATGGGAAGAAGAGAGTCACGCTACCCTGGGCCTCCGATGGCATCCTCAAGGCGATTGGTTCTCCTTCTCAATTCGTCCACGTCCAGTCACTGATCTCACAAAGCGACGAGTTCTAGCCGAAACGGCTCGGCTCTTTGATCCGATGGGTTGGCTCGCGCCTGTCGTCATCAGAGCCAAAATTCTGATCCAGACGACGTGGCTTCAACGGCTGGATTGGGACTCTCCGCTGCCTGATCAGGACGCACACCGCTGGAGGCAGTTGTTGGATCAGCTTCCTCTATTGGATAACATCCGTGTAACTCGCTGGCTCAACACCGGAGACGACCATTCGCAACTGCAGCTCCATGGGTTTGCCGACGCTTCAGAGCGAGGATACGCCGCCGTGGTGTACATCCGCAACGCTGCAACAGAAAAAACGTCAATCAACCTATTGATGGCAAAATCGAAGGTCGCGCCTGTCAAGCAGGTGTCGTTACCTCGCTTGGAACTCTGTGCAGCAGCTCTACTTACCACGTGCGCGCTACTCTCGGTTTGACAACGACGCCGGTGCATCTGTGGTCAGATTCAAGGGTCACACTTCATTGGATCCGCGGACACAGCACCCGTTGGAAAACCTTCGTCGCCAACCGAGTATCTCAGATCCAGACCCTGCTTCCAGACGCTCAATGGAGACACGTCGCTGGACGAGAGAATCCTGCAGATTGCGCATCGCGCGGTGTTACTCCTGCTGAATTAATCAATCATGAGTTGTGGTGGACAGGACCTACCTGGCTCTCAGGAGACGAGACTGCATGGCCGGGTTCAAACATCGACGTCCCAGAGGATGACCTCCCGGAGCAGCGAGCCACCAGTCTGGTAATCAAGGCACCGGTCTCGGCAGAACCTGACCTCCTCCTCCGGTTTCCAACGCTGCACAGGCTGCTGCGGGTTACGGCATGGTGTCGGCGATGGCTCAATCAGGCGAGACGTGACGCCATACCTGGCCGTCCATTGCATCCGGACGAGCTGGACGTCGCCTTATTTCGATGGCTGCGAGTGGTGCAGGCGCTCCACTTTCCTACGGACGTAGCTGCGGCTTCTGCTGGACGCACTAGCCCACCACGAAGCCACCTAGCGATGTTGAGTCCGGTCCTCGATGATCAAGGCGTGCTGCGCGTCGGAGGACGTCTCAAACATGCTCAGCTACCACTCGACGAGAAACATCCAATGATCATCCCGGCGGCATCATGGTTGACTCGGCTGGTGATCGATTCCTGCCACCGACGGACGCTGCACGGAGGTGTGCAACTGACTCTCGGCCTGCTCCGCCTGCGCTTCTGGGTGCCTCGAGGAAGGACCACCGTCAAACAGCAGCTACACCGATGCATAACCTGCACTCGATGGCGCGCCGCCACACCACAGCCTCCGATGGGTAACCTTCCTCGGGAGCGAGTAACGCCAACTCGACCGTTCCTCAGCACCGGCTTGGACTACGCGGGACCAATCCTCCTCCGGACCAGCAAGGGGCGTGGACACCGTGCGCACAAGGGGTACATCGCAGTCTTCGTCTGCTTCTGGTCAAAGGCCGTTCACTTAGAAGTCGTCTCAGACTACACCTCGGAGGCCTTCATCGCCGCTCTGCGCCGCTTCGTCTCCCGCAGGGGCCTGTGTGCTGAGATCTACAGCGACTGTGGCACGACTTTCATCGGAGCAGATCGGACGCTGCGAGGTCTCTTCAACGCAGCGACAGCCGAAGGTCAAAGTGTCATCCTTGCCGCCACCGCTCAAGGAATCCGCTGGCACTTCAACCCGCCAGCGGCCCCGCATTTTGGTGGTTTATGGGAGGCCGCCGTAAAGTCGACCAAGTTCCACCTCCGTCGGGTGATCGGCGCGACCACCCTCACGTTCGAGGAGTTGAGCACACTCCTTGCACAAATTGAAGCCTGTCTTAACTCACGTCCGTTGCAGGCACTCTCAGATGATCCAGAGGACGTCTCGGCGCTGACCCCCGGTCACTTCCTCATCGGGACACCGCTCCTCGCCTTGTCAGAACCGTCATTGACAGAGCAGACGGTGTCCACCTTGTCACGTTGGCGTCATCTGCAGCGGATGAGGGATCACTTCTGGCAGCGATGGTCATCCGAATACATGCACGGACTCGCCCCACGCACAAGTGGCTCAAGGATGCACCTGCACCCCACGTCGGCGATCTCTGCCTCGTTCGCTCCGAGATCACCCCCCCGAACCGATGGCCCCTCGCTCGCATATCGCGTTTGCACCCCGGGGACGATGGAGTTACACGCGTAGTGACGATCCGAACGGCCACGTCCGAGCTCGTGCGCCACTCGTCAAGCTCGTGTTTCTTCCGGGCGTGAACGACGTTCCTACACCGCACGTTGACACATAGCATCACTCACTACACGATCATCACGTCATGCACCATATCAACTGTCACGCTTCACTCATTTCACTCATCACCTCACTATAACACTTGTCTCGTTTTCACCGCTTACTGCATCGTTCACTCGCCGTTCACATCTGCCACATACTTTCGCCGTTTCAGCTGATCGATTCGCAACACGTGATCACCACGTGTTTCGTCGACTCAGCTGATCGACTCACAACACGCGATCATCACGTGAATTTTGCCGCGCCGACACGAGCCCGCCCCACCATCAATCGCTATCGGAATGTGATCCGAGCCGGAAACATCATCAACCTTTTGTCACGTTGCGCCAAGGCGGGCGGGATGTTTGAGATGCAAAATAAATCTATCGTCTGTTAATTACTTCGGCAGTAAACCGTTATTAGGATTTTCAATTTATACAAAATTCGATCTCGAATTTTGTTATTTGGTAAATTCTGGAATCATCGATCAGTAATAATAAAGTCACGTTTGTTTTGTATAATAGAATAAAAAGAAGTCGTAAATTTACAGCTGTCACATAAAAAACGCTCAAATATACAAACAAGTAACGGTGTCGCAACCGTTCCGCCGAATAATTACATGCTATTGAGCATGCGCTACTTTAAAAATCACGCAATTATTGGCGCTTCACGCGAAGGTGGGCTCCGCTCCAAAAATTATAAAAGAGGAGCTCACCCCGGCGTAGGGGCCTTATCGCTTTCCGCCGTGTACGCATAAGTCAAACCGCCTAAAAAAAACCGCAGAACATTTATATCGACAACCGCCGCTCTTTCTTTTGATTTGATTTCTCCGCTGAAACTAATTAAACTTTATGTTAATTTTGTGCGTGTAATTGTTAAATATTGTACATTATATTTTAGTAAAGATTCGTATATTAAAGGTTTCTTTATACTACAACTGACTCATCCTTTGTCGTGTCGCGCGATTCCTCACGCAGCGCGTTCGCGAACAACATACAATCAAAAACTGAATAGAATCAGCGAACCGCATAGGGCGCATACGACATAAAATCAAAGCGCGAATATTCTATAATACAAAATATACTCAGAACGCGAATAATTATACAATGTAAACTGGGTCCGGATGCACCAGCAAGTGCGTGGTATCGTAGGATAGATCGGATGCGATCCCGGTGTGTAGGCGCATTTTTCCCGACGGACAGAATCTGCCGTTGACAGGTGTCAAGGCGGGTCGCAATCGCGGAGGTGGGGATACCGAGACTGATGGCCGCGGGGCTACTTTGGAGTTAACGCCGAACGCGTGAATATAAGAAGTCGGGGGGTGTAACGGCTACGCGTAAGGGGCGCGTTGAACGGCGAAATGGGGTACGGCGCGTACTCCTACGCGGGACGGTCGGTCGGGTAGATGCGAGAGGGCGGCGCATCGCGGAAATCGCGAGAAGATTCTTTTGCGGGAGAATTTTGTTTATTCTCCAGCGTAAAATGCAGTCTCGGCGTGCCACCGCCGAACTGCAGGTAGTAGGATGCACCGGCTGTCACGTTGGCGCGACACAAGCGGCGGGTCTCCACTCGAGAGCGGCCGGAGAGTCAGGAGAAGCTTATTTGGAGAAAAAGAGTGTCGATCGGCCCCGAGACAAACTCGGGAGAGGCAGAGTACGCTTCTACCCAGGTGCCGACAGCAGGATGGCTCTCAGGGTGTTCGGTGGTCTCCCGGGTACTGAGATTTCTCAACAGAGGCAGAGTACGCTTCTACCTCAACTCGGAGCACCGGTCCCGGAGATCCGGATAGTGTCGGAATCGGAGACGGAGTGTGTTTTCCTAGGAATCAAACTATCTTTTATACGCGCGTGATAACAGTACATCGACGCGGCAGCGGCGTTCGGCTGGTTTTGGCGGCCGTCGGGCGCGCTCGGCTTTGTGCCGTTTCGCGCGATAATGTGATAATTGTCACGCCGTTTTATCGGCTTTGTGAAAAGTAATTATGGGGACACAAAACGCCTGCCGCAATTGCCCGGCTGATGTCGCCGGGCGCGGCCTTCCGACGGTTCGTGGGACGATGGGTCTTTGTTACAAGTTTTAAAGTAATAATTTAAAGATAACACCACTGTTAACGGCCTAAAAAAGGCGTTTTTTGAAAAAATAAAATTTTTTTTTTAATGGAAAAAAAGGAAATTACATGCAAAATTAATAAATTAAAATGAGATCTCAATCAAACTCATTTATTAAATTCTAAACGTTTCGACCCACTTCGGGTCTTCTTCAGTAGCTGCAAAATACAAAAAGAAACAAAAATAGATAATCGGTACAATCAGAAAATTATAAAACTCGTATACATACAATCCGCAAATAAATTAAATATCATTCTCCTCCCTATTCAAACCGTCCGGCCGTCGGAGTGTCTCCCTAACGGTGACCATCGTCAGGAAGGAAGCAGAGCAGTGACTCCCTTACCAACACTAATCAACATGGTATAAATTAAACGTAGAACAATTCACAAGAATTAAAAATTAAAAACCGGGAAGAACACTCACCCCGACAGCAAAAACAGAGAGAAGACGATGCTACACGTGACACATCACTCTAACGACTGTGCGGTATTCTACCTCGACACAGTCGATACATATATACGCAAAAAACAAATATAAAAATAAAATATGAAAATAAAAATAAAAACAACTAAAACTTATCGGCACTCATGTCAAAGGTCTAACAAAAAAAACCCGGCTATGTATAATCACAAAGCTAGATTTTGGTAAATTTTTCTATTAACAGATCAAAATTCTCGTTTAATTTATCAGTGTCGCTATGTAAATTTAAACTATTCCTCTGACGTTTTATGTGGATCATTTCGGATATCAAACGTTTACCTAAAAAAGGCTCCTCGTCTAAGACTTTTACATCCTCCCAATTAAATTCATGGTTCAATAATCTATGTTCCGATATGACTGATAATTGTGACGCGTTTCTTTTTATGTTGTTGCGATGTTCTTTCATCCTAGTTTTCAACAATCTACCCGTCTGCCCTACGTACGACGCATCACAATCCATACAATCAATTTTATAAACTACATTGTTATGGAGTTCCTTGGTAACTTATCCTTGTGTACTTTAATGAATTTACGGAGACTGTTAATTGCTGTATAGGATGGAATGACATCCAAATCACGTGTAATGTCCTCGATTCTCTTCGATACATTATTAATATACGGAATATTAAAGTACGAAACTTTTTTCTGCGTTAGGATCTTGTCATTGCATATATTTGCTCTATTGTTATGCAACTTATTATTGTAGCGGAAGAACAACTTTTTTAACCGCGCTTGTAATGTTTGAAATATCAAATTGAGAGGATAATTATTAGACAAAAGAACTCCAATCATAGACTCAAAGTTACCTTTATGGAATTTCGGATGAGATAGCCAAAAAACTCTATCTATGAGGCTGATAATGGTGCCTTTTTTATGACAGAGAGGATGCTGCGATTCAAAATTTAAATATCTACCTGAATACGTCGGCTTATGAAACAAATCAAACTCAATGCTCCCATTATTTATAATAATGGTGACGTCTAAAAAATTCAATCGGTTGTCAACCCCCTCCTCCATGGTGAACTGCAATCTAGGATGGAAAGAATTGAAAGTGTTTAAAACTATTTTAAGCATGGAGGGTGGGGCCGCCAACGCGATATCGTCAACATATCTAAAATAAAATGGAAATGACATTGGAATCGCAGCAATCGCTCTACTCTCCAAATCTTGCAACGTGATATCCGCAATGATCGGTGAGAGGGGGGAACCCATAGGCGTGCCAAAAGTCTGTTGATAACATACATTATTAAACATAAAATAAGTCGAATTCATAATAAAACGAATTGCCAATAAAAATTCATCTCGTGGAATAATACACTCTTTTTCAATATACCCCCATCTGTTAATTAAACTATCAATAGCCATATCCAATGGTACGTTGGTGAACAATGATGCAACATCTAGTGAAACTAGCTTCACATCACTATCCACACATAAACCATTTAATTTGTTCACTAATTGGAAACTATCAGAAATAGCCGAATCAGGTTTCGGAATTGCCTTATATATTATCTTATGTAAAAATTTTGCCAAGTAATAAAGAGGTGTATTCCTAGATGACACGATGACACGTAAAGGGCAATTCGGTTTATGCACCTTCGGCAGACCATACGCTCTCGGTAAAACCCCGTCCGTGCAGTTCAGGGATTTATATGTTGTTGAAGAAATGTAATTCTTCATTTTCCATCTCATTAAAATTCCGTGTAATTGATTAATTAGGTTCCTAGTCGGATCTTTTTTAACAACAGTATAAGTATCCCGGTCAGCCAGCAAATCACACATTTTGTCCATGTACATATCTCTGTTCATCGCAACCGTGATATTACCCTTATCCGCCTTCATAAATAAAATATCGGGATTATCTTGGATGAATTTACCCGTCAATTTGTAAGCCTTACAAAAACTATTTTTTGTGTGAGCTTTTTCAGACATGGAAATATGGAATTTATTTATTATGGGAAAGGCTCTATTTCTGACTGCAGATCGTTTTTCCACAGGGAGTTTAAAAATATTTTGTTCTATATTTTTCAACAACTCTATGGTGGTTTTATCTTTGTCAAATACTGGCAGACAGAAGTTCTCTCCTAACCGCAACAAATCTCGAATTTCACACGGTATCGATACGGATGATAAATTTAAAAACCATTTATCTCTTTTGTCAGCAACATCAGGATTTAAAGAAACAAAGGAAGTCGGGTTCAAGGAAACGCTGAGAGACTGAGACGGCCCTGACTCACATGGCCTTGAAGAAAATTCTTTCGTACACGTGTAATAATATTGGATAGGACGAATATTCTATTATTGAATTTATTTTGTTTATCTAAGAGCCAT